GAGTTGGGCAAAATCAAACTAATTCAATCATGATTTAAAAAATTTTAATAATTAATTCAATCATGAGGTATGACTCATCATATAATGATCATGTAATGATTAATTTACTCATGACCAATTCAATCATGATTAAACTTCAATAAAAATTCTTAATCATGATTGAATTAGTTTGATTTTGCCCAACTCTGAGCCTGACAAGCCCGTTCACCAGACTTAAAACCCAGCGAACATTTATAAGGTAACCTCAAAAGACGATTAGCACTTTCATCACGTCCTGATACACTCCACGATCTTGAAAGTACTATTCGTGAAGAATGGGCTAACCCTCCAGCAAAAAGACATTTCCAGACTGGTATAAAGTATGCCGGGGCGTATTCGAGATGTAATTAAGCCAAGAGGAGGAAATACACGATATTGAAATGTTGGCAAACAAAACAACAAAGGAAAGCCAAATTGTTGAATGAAAAACAATCATTACATTCCACACATCAAATATTTCTACATAGTCTAATTCTTCAACAATTTAGCTTTCCTTTCCCTAATTAACCCTGTTTATTAATCCTGAAAGGATAATCAGGCCGAACCATTACCCATTTTTCCCATTGTCGGCTCCTTTCACCTCAAAGAAGCCGACTACTCATATAAAAATTCCTGTCTACCCCGACTTCCTTCCCCACCCCTTCAAAATCCAACGTATATAAACAAAAAACATCAATATCTCACTGGCACCCTCAACACGACAGACAAGAATGAAACATCTACACGGAAAACAAACACTTTGAGTGAGTACAAATACTTTGATTAAATCTAAAATTTCAAGCATTGTATAAATTCATTTTTTTCACATCCCACATATATTTGTACAATTTAAACAATGCTTGTAAATCCCAGGCCCTGAAGATGATCTCAATAAAGATCGAAACGTTGGCACGATAAAGAAAATGTTTTTCTAAAACCTACGTCACTCCAGACCGCATCTCACGATCTCCAAATAATTATCAACTAACGGTCACTAAACACCACACATTACCCGAAGTGTTCATAAGTTAATAAAATCGGTATTGTGAGATTTCTTCTTGGGGAACATCAAAACATGATTGTTTTGATAATTTTACTCTTCTAACAAACCTCTAAACACAAACCGATATTGAGGATAGGCAGGCCAAAATGATCAAAAATGGCTAAACTACAACATTGATTGAGTTGTAATTGGAACGAAATAATATGTGTTCGTTTTATTGGTGACTTTGTGGAAAAAAAGAACGTGAGTATTAAAGGTTGGAAGGTCACATTAAATGCCCATCAGGACTGCCAGCCCCACTCGTGAATATTGTTATTAACATGTCATTAGCGGAGCAGGTCTCGTGAGTGCGTTCCCTTCGCCCTTCCTACATCGCGAGGGCTACTTGATAAAATAGTAATAATTGAAAAGAGAGGGTTACCTGGGGGAAGGGGTGACGTGAGATAAGAGGGCGCAGATGCTATCGGCCCGCGGGACATGCGAGCCTCTGTCAACCCCCAACTTTCATATCCGACCGCTCTTGTTTTTTCCCCTTTTTCTTTTTCTGCTTTTCTCTCTTCTTCTAGAGGCGGTAGGTGAAGTTTTTCTGGAAATGGAATGTCTCTTAGAGGTCCCTTCCACTTACGGCCCATTCATCAACATCAGCTTTCAGCGGACACAATGCTGCCCAGCTCCCCGTCCCGTCCGGGCTCACCGTTTTCCCTCCTCCGGAGTGGATCGCTTTTTCGGACGTTGACGTGTTCATTTCGGCCGACGTGAAGATTGGTTCTCCTGGACCCGGGGGAACGTTATTTCCGCTGCTACATACAAGGAAAGCCGAGCGAGGCATGAAAGAAATCCGGTTCAATTATTGATTTTCTCATACGAACCCCTGTTATTACTTTTCTCCGTCTTTTTACAACAGGTCCGCGAGTGCTTAAACGAGATGTTTATAGCAAATACGCATTCTTAAGACATACGCGCTAGAAGCACTTTGTGTTAGTCAAAAGCCATAATGAAATGAATAGCACTACAACAGTCATCCAATTCCATTAAGCACTATATTCCATAGAATAATAATTTAACTACATAATTCTAACGATAAGCTCACTGCTTAATAAAACCAATTTGATTTTTGTCCTATTTTCCTGCAAAATTCGCACATTAATTTCCCAGCAGCTTCATTTTCTTTTATCCCTTTTTAAGGACTCTTTGTCAAAAAAAATATTGATGAATTATTGTAAAAAAAAATAAAATAAAATACGAATTGAAAAACGATTTTGGTAGTGCAGAATGCGCCTGAAAGACTGAAAAATAGCTTTTATTGACTAATCTAATTGATGGCCGATGGTGGTACACAATATTCCGCCATGTGCCCTCTCACGGTTCACATTTACGCCAATAAATACATTCACTCTAATCGTACGTTAAGTAACAAAAGTAATAACAGAACAAACACACGATTATACATAAAAATATTTTAAAATTTTCCCGTTTCTTTCTGGAAAGTTGAAAAGTGTGTGGTTGGTTAAATAAATCTTCAAATTAGGAAAAATAAAATAAAACTTCCTCTTAGGAGTATGCATTGTATTTATAAAAATACTTCATATATAAATTAAATGAAGTATGAAATATATTCCCAACATACATTAGAAGACACAAAAGTATCTGTATTATTATACAAATAAAAACACTGTTTCCTCCAAGAATCCGCGGCCTTTAGATATTTATTTTTGGTTATTGTGATTAAATAATTATAATGTTTTTAAATATATTAGTTTATTATAACATCGTATTTTGGTATTGTTTATGTTTTACATGTTTTTGTGTAATGTATTTTTATTGTTTTATTTTATTTAATTAATTAATTTATTTATTTTTATTTTTGTAAAACGTATATACATATTTGTAATTGGGACTTTTCCCATGAAATAAATCAATAACANAAAATATTGTTTTCTGCAATTAATTGGAGATCGTGAGGTGCGGTCTGGTGTGACATAGGTTTTAGAAAAACGTTTTCTTCAATCCTTTTTTAAAAAGATAGTTCCTACTCACAGTAAGTTGTTTTCCAAGGATCCGGATTTCGGGCCTTTAGCTTCTTCAACCTGATGATGAGCTAAGGGCTCGAAATCCGGAACGTTGGAAAACAACTTACTGTGAGTAGGAACTATCTTTTTAAAAAGGATTGAACACCGCACTCACTCCATCATTCATCATTTCTATAAACATTTTCTTTATCGTGCCAACGTTTCGATCTTTGTGTGGTGATTAGTGACCGTTAATCGATATTTATTTAGAGAGTCTCGACACGACACGCAAGAATGGCACAATTACACAGAAGACAAACACTTTGAGCCCTGAAGATGATCTCAATAAAGGTCGAAACGTTGGCACGATAAAGAAAATGTTTTTCTGAAACCTACATCACACCAGACCGCATCTCACGATTTCTAAATAAAAAAAAATAAAATAAAAAAGTTTCGATCTTTATTGAGATCATCTTCAGTGTCTGGGATTTATAAATATTGTTTAAATTATACAAATACAAATAGAATGTGAAAAAAACACATTAATCACAGATTGGTATCAAAAACCAAGAAACACAGATCGTTACCTGAACTTTACATCACACATACAATCCTCTTCATACAAAAATAAACACGGCCAAAAGGCTATATCACAGAATTATTACCCTAAGCCATAAATCATTTTACCACAAGAACATAAAGATATACAAACATACCCTACATAACGATCACTACCCTAAGCACACAATCAACAGAATAATCAACAACACAACTCAATACTAACACCATCTGCTATTACTAATAATACGACATCAAATCTATCAAATACGGACAAACCAATATACGTATCCATGCCGTCCATCACGGCCTATCACATAAATTAAACATATTTCTCTCTTCTGATAACTTTAAAACCGCTTTTAAAAACTAGAAAACAATTCACACACTTTTTTCCAAAATTAAAGATCCCACACCAGTTACAAATAAGTCTGACGTAATTAAAAAATCAATTGTTTAAATTGTCCACGTACATCGCAATTACATCCCAATCAACATATCTATGACTGCAAAAAACGCAAACAAAATCCTACAGCACTGGCCATTTTGAACACCAACACAATTTCGACATCAACAATCCAAAAATATTACACACAGAACAAAACAAACATAAACGTAACTTTTTAGAAATGATTTACATCAACAGAGATAAACGCAGCATCAATTACAGAACGGACACATGTAAACTCAGTCGCAGCTATGCTAATATCATTAATCAAATTCACATACATATCTCATCATCACATCACACAAATCATATAAAACAGTCATTACACTCCTCACATTAAATATTTTTACGTAGTCTAATTCTTCTACAATTTGACTTTGCTTTCCCTAATTAACCCTGTCTATATAATCCTGAAAGGATAATCAGGCCATTACCCATTTTTCCCCATTCTCTTTTCACCTCAAAAAAGCCGACTCCTTATACAAAAATGTCTTTCTATACCGACTTCCTTCCCCACCCCCTTCAAAATCCAACGTATATAAACATAAAACATCAATATCTCACTGGCACCCTCAACCTCAACACGACGCACAATCTACACAGAAAACAAACACTTTGATTCAGTCTAAAATTTCTAACATTGTATAAATTCATTTTTTTCACGTCCTATATGTATTTGTATAATTTAAATAATGTTCATAAATTCCCCTGAAGATGATCTCAATAAAGATCGAAACGTTGGAACGATAAAGAAAATGTTTTTCCAAACCTACGTCACACCAGACTGCATCTCACGATCTCCAAATAATTATTAACTAACTGTCACTAAACACCAGACATATAAATATATTCCAGTAAAACAGAATTAAGGAGGGGCGCCCCTTCGACATTAGTCGGAACATACAAGAGAATCGATTCTTTCGATCATTTTAATCGATTTGTCGTTTAAAGTCTAAAACCTAAACTTGGCTTCGTCCTTTTTAGAGTGTCGAGCCGTCGACCGAATGCGTATCGACAATTGAAGTCGTGTATGCTACAAACTCATCATCCTCATACAAAACAAACGCATTAAAGTCAAATTTAAAGTAAGTAAAAAGCTTGAAATTTAATTAAATCTCAGCCTAGTGGTGGATTGCTTCCAATTGCTCAAATCCACGAGTCAATACGTCCTTGAAAACGGCACGTTCACTTTAGTTTCTAAAATGAGAAATATTTTTAAATCCTTAATTTTCTGTTTAATCCTATAAAATAAATTTGATTTAATCAAGGCCAGACCTTTAAATGTTAATTATTGCGCAATATTTTTAATAACGTTTTATTTATAATTAACTTGTATTAACTGGAATTTTTCTTCTTTTTTTAAGAGAGAGTAAAGATGGAAGAATATGTAAGGGAGCCATGCCCATGGCGTATCGTAGATGACTGCGGAGGAGCTTTCACGATGGGTGCTATCGGCGGTGCAGTCTTCCAGTCGATAAAAGGATTCAGAAATGCGCCAAGCGGCTTGAACAGAAGGCTTGTCGTAAGTATGCTGATCATGTCAACGTCTGTTTACAAAGGGAAATATGGATATCCTAAATGGATCATCACTGATTGCAAATAGCAGTGATTGATTTGATGAGAAGATCACCAGAAACAGTCTTGTAACAATGCACTAGTGAATTTTAAATATTTAAGAAAATTACTTATAATTTGGTTGTTTTTGTGTTGTTATAGGGTAGCATGGCAGCTGTTAAACAAAGGTCACCAATGATTGCCGGAAGTTTTGCTGTCTGGGGCGGTCTCTTTTCGACCATAGATTGCACATTAGTACATTTTAGGCAGAAAGAAGACCCTTGGAATTCAATAATAAGCGCGGCAGCTACAGGAGGTATTTTAGCGGCCAGGAACGGCGTACCTGCCATGGCCGGCAGTGCTTTAATTGGCGGCGTTCTTTTAGCTCTTATCGAAGGTGTTGGCATCCTATTCACTCGAATGCAGGCCGATCATTTTAGGCAGGAACAGCACTTCGTAGACCCTTCGCAGTTAGGACGCCCCAACGGCCAATCGATGTACAATTGACATCGTACAAGTGTTCGTCTATGTGTCCTCTTGTAGATATTTTTTCCTTTTTTATTTAAACTTGCAAAGGACATAAAAAGAGGTGATCTCTCAGATTCAACACATAGTTCGTGAAAACTGTGTTTTTTGATTATTTCAAAATTCTGTATATATATATTATAGAAACAGAGCAGTACTATCGCACCGCAAATGTTGTTGATTCAGCTTAGTACGCCTGAACAGTTGGACACCCTCAAGGCTATCCGAGAGTTTTCACCACCCCATATAGCTCTGGTACCGCGATGGTGTCCAAACGAGGATGGAAACTATAAGACCAAAATTTCTTATGTGGTGGGTTTCACCTCAGCCTGTTTATGTTAACAAAACGAGTCAACTGTGGTTTCAAACATTGTTACAAGTATCTTAAGACATTGTTTGTTTTGTTATTAAAATATATTTGACCGCCTGTAGTAATTTTTTGTCTCACATTCCTTTTTATATTTTTATATTTTAATACCATTTTAAATTATTTAATGACGTTTTCTCTTGAGCAATATTACTGTCATATATTGGGTGTTGCAGACAAGGGGTCAAACCACTTTAGAACACCTTATACATTATTATTAAATTAAAATAATTAAAATTTATGCACTTTGCTGAAAATCTTGAAGAACCAATAGCATGGTAAATCAAGTCGAATGCCCTAACCACTCGGCAACTGTGGTCCCTAGAAGCAGTACAAAAAGTTAATTGTGCGAAAATTTCAATTTACATACATGGATAAAAACTAACCAAAGACAAGTAAAAATAAAAATCTGTATAAACATTTAATTTTTTTTAGTGTAGACCTCCATTTATGTAGTCAAAATAGTAGGTTCAGCTTTTTTGTAATGTTAGCAAAAATATGCAACCTTTGTGCCAAATTCCAGAAAAAACATTTTATTATAACATTACTAAGCTTGTAGAAATATTAAGAATTATTACAGTTTTACCTTATACAATACAAATTATACTGGCAGTGTATTTATTAGCGTGAATGTGTAGTGTAGAGGGCTGATGGCAGAATATTGAGTACCCTATTTCCCTCAATTAGATTAGTTATATAATATGTGTGGAGGAACATCAAGTAATCCATCACCCAAACTGAGTGAACAATATATAAATATGAAAGATTAAGTGGATTTGGATTTAGGAACTGATTGTGGGGAGCTGAAATGGCCTCGCTGAGATAGCCCCTGGAGCCTTATTGATGGGACTGATAAGACCATGTTCTGACATATTAAACACTAACAAGGAGGTTAAAAGGCTAGTTGTCGTAACAGAAGAACATCTACTTTGACATCCAGTCAGCACTGATGGCTATTACCACATCAGTGGTAAAGTCCAGTCGTTTTGGATTACATTAAGGCTTTGTAAGACAGGGCAAACCAAAAAATTACCTTTGTCTGGATACCAGAGCACAGGGCAGGACAACAAAGAGGCCCATAAATTGGCCAAGGAAAGTTTGATAAGGACACCTTTTGGCCCTGAACCCTTTCATGGAATACCAAACTGTCAAAAACGGATCCATCAGAAAATGAATTAAAAATAAGTCCTCCGTTCAATGAAATGTAGGCCAGGACAGGCGTGTGAAAAATATCAACAAAGGACCATCGCAGAAACTACCAGCAGAACTATTAAATCTAGGACATATTAAAACTAGAATAATAGTTAACTGCTGATTTCAGAGGCATGTGCATAGACTTGGAGGGGTAGAAACAAGTATGTACAAATATTGTCAGAAAAAAGAGAAGAGACAGCACATCAACCTCTGTTGGTGCGAAGGTTTATGTAGGCTAAGATTCCTACTGCTAAGAAAAAGCCCAGGTCTGAAGGATATACATGGAATCCTTGAAAAAACTTTGGAATCTGGTAAAAAGCCTTAAGCTTAATGAGGAACTTAGACAACAATAGAAATGGCAAATAGACCAATTTTGGTCATGGTGCAGAGTTCATAAAGAGGCTGACTCCTTTATTAATCTAATCTGATCCCAGACTGTCAAAACATTCTGTAGGAGTGACGCCATTTTATTGCAATTACACAAAAGCGGAAATTTCCAACAGAATGCAAGTAGTGATATGTTCAGCTCTGTACATGCCTATATATTCAGGCAGAGTTGAGCTTATATAGGTCAGTAATCAATACAAACCTGAAGATGGTTCAAATCATCCGACAGACCAAATTAATGTGAAACTACATTTATCTGTACAAAAATTTAAACGAACAAACATTAATGAGCCAACAGAAGCAAATTACTCCTAGTTGAATTGTTTGTTTATGGGCAGCTATTGTCATCTGCCTTCATCTCATAACAATCTACCAGTCTTGTTGCTAGTTGTTGATAACCTAATTGTAGAGCTAAACAAATTTGGATATCTCATCATAAATTATGCCTAGTAATAATAATAATAAAAAAAATCAAATAAGATTTAACTCTCAAAATGCAGTGCTGACAAGCTAGTAGAAAGTGTGGTGTCAACATAGAGGTTTGGGAATAACCCGAACAAAACAACTTAATACCATTCGCAAAGAGAAGCCTAATATAAAAGCACCCTCTTTAATAAACAAAAATATAATTTCTCCAGTAAAACAAAGTTTCTTGGAATAACACTGGGCAAAGGTAATAACGAGTTTGGGCCAAAGATAATGTAGTAAAGCATAGGGTATAAATTCAAAATGGCTTTCTGGTTATATACAGAGGTTAGGCCTCTGGTCACACATGGAGCCCTAGTATTACAGCCAAAAACTTGGAAAATAATACACGAAATCAATTTTCAAGTTTGGCATATCTTAACTTTATATTAAAAAAGTATACTTGCCCAAATTCAGATGTGGGTGCCAGGACGCGAAGAGATTGAAGGCAACAAACAGGCTGACAATTTAGTAGAAGTGAAATAGACAGAGGAAGAAATGGCCACAAACTAAATGAAACAATCAAAGTTTCTCGACATCTCAACCAAGAAAATAAAAATGTCCAATTACGGAAAATAATAGGCCTTTATACAAGCCATGGTTTATTTAATTACCACCTTAACAAAAAATGTAAAAACCGAGAAACCTACGAACTTTATCTTGAAAAATCAGACATCAGAACATGCTGTGACTGCAAACGGTTATACTAATGAGATTTTGAAGAAATATCAAACATGCTTAGGCACAAAATTTAGTCAATACTAGACAATTGTTCTGCCTTTTTCGCTGTGTTGGTCTGTACGAACTTTAGTATTTTGCCATGTCCAGTGTTGGGTCTGATTTTTTTAATTTTGTTTATATAGTTTTTGAATTCTAAACAACATGGTAATAACCAAATGACAGATTTATCCCCAAACAAAGAAATTTCAGCAAACTTAAATATATTAGACTATCACTGCAGAAAAATAGGCCCTGTTTGACTTTATGGCTGGGGGCAGGAATCTCACATCTGTGTATTTTTTTTTTTTTTCTTTTTGTCTTTTTTTATCCAATAAACAATGTAATATAAATAAAAAATGAGCAGAGTCAGCGCCTTAAAACATAAAAACAAAATTCTTGAATGTCTTGCAGTTCTTTCATGTGCTAAATGCAGATAATTATGTAAAGAGAGCCAGCAAAGATGATCACTGTTTTCCAACCTTTAAATAAGCCAACAACTATTACCGTAGGGAAATAAAAGTACTAATAAATCTACATCCTAAGGCTTAAGAGAATAAATGTACAAGTTTAAGAACAAAGATTAAAATGTTATAAATTATAGACAAAACAGATGGACTTTTTACATTTGTTTATTTATTTTTGCTTCAAATACCATCAAACAAAATTTAATCGTGCAATGCAAACAACATAGAAAATAGGAGCGAATCGAAGACAGTGGCTATGGCGGACACGACATAAAACTATGAGATTTTAGGTTACATTTAATATTACACTGGGACATAAGTAAGTACAGGTTGTGTAAAATAACTGTTTTGGGTTAGAACATGCAGATTTTATGGACATTTGAATCATGTACGCCATATAGCAAAAAATAATATGTGAAATTTCCTCATGGGGATGTGTTTGGTTTGTATCCGATCTTTTTGGCCTGTCAAATATGGGAACTGATGACTGAAAGCGATGAGATGCGGAAATCCTTGAAATCCAAAATATCTAGGATAAGTAGGCCAAACAGAAATTACCAAAATGTTTTCATTTCTGTTTAAAATGTAAAATATCAACAAAAAAGAGTTGCCAAATGTATACAATTTATTGTTATTGTATGTTAGGTGGAGAATAATACTTATTTTGTGAGGACAGTAGAGTGATGAACCTGCAATTTGGTTGTTACCAATTATTTTGGCCTGCCTATAGAGTGGGTTGTTGGTCTGACAGATGTAGTAGTTTGGCATTTCACAATCTTCAGTGTTGAATCTGGTAGATGAAGTGACCAAAATTATTGTTAATGACCAAATTATTAAACATCACAAGTTATGCGCACAGTGGGCAATGTTTGCATCTTACCCACAGCAGGAGGGCATGGAATGGGTGTGACCTATCCTCAGCCTTGTCAAAATTATTTTATCCGACTTCCCTAAGTTATCCACTTCTCATCATTCTTGGTACACTACATCACATGGTATTGGCACATTGTTTTCGACAATCTCTTAGCATGTTGCACACCTCTAATTGTTCACTCACCATCACAAGTTAACCGCACAGTGGGCAATGTTTGCACCTTACTCCCCCAGGAGAGAATGGATTGGGTGTGACCTATCCTTAGCCTTATCACTTTCCATAGTTCTCTACTCAACATCGTTATAAGTACTCTCCTAGCATGTGCACTCCTCTAATTGGTATCTAACAGTCACAACATATTAATACAGTGAGCAATATTTGCACCTCCCCCAATAGATGATATATGTAAAATTGGTGTGACCTACCCTCAACCTTGTCAATACTCACTTCACGTTTGTGATATTCTCTGAATATGTTGCACAACTTTAATAGGTTATTCACTGTCACAAGAATACACACTGGGCACTTGCTCTTTCTCCCACCAACATATAGGCATGAGATGGGTGTGACCTATCCTCAACCTTGTCAGTATTATTTTATCCTGTTTCCCCAAGTTCTCCACAAACCAAGAACTCAACATTTCTCTGTATACTTTGTTAATTTCATTACAGTGGGCCAACCATTCGTAAAAGATAGTATTTTTTTAATTTCATAACCTCAGTCCTGGTCCAAGAAAAATTAAAAAATTAATAAGTTTGTTAAACTTGAGAGGACACTTGAAGTATTTTAAAAACAACTATTTATTTGACCAATTTTTATAGTTATTATTTTGTTTCAGACTGTAATGAGCAGAAAATTGTATAATTCTTAGTTATCATAAATTACTTGCATAATTATACAATCAATCATTTCCACTAATATATTTGTATTAAAAAAATATGCCCATATTACATTGTTAAGAATAAATGTAAAATTAGTCAAATAAGCGTGCATTAGACTAATCTATAAATAGCCAATGCTCTAATATGAATAGGGGTCAAAATGTGGTTTAAAATTAGAAGGAATTCCACACAGTATGGCAGACTACACAGCCACACACAGATCGCCAACACCAAAAGCATTGTCCAAAGTCTGGATCATCCTTCTTTTTTATATAGCCTACCAAGCGAGACAGAATCGATCCCAGTGAACAACATTCCAAACAAATAGACTATTTTAAGCTATTGTCTTTCGCTAATTCTTCATACGAACGCCTAGTATTTTCAGATCGACATAGCTGAACCCAACACGAACATCCTGCAAATACCAACAAGTTGGAGAGGAACAATAGCCATAGCCAGTTCTTCACACTCTCAAACTGGGTAATGCTAACAATAAAATAAATTTAAAAATAATAAATACTTGCTTTTTGCATCATGAAAAAGTATTTCTCTTTTAAAATTGATTGAGCTTTGCATGGAAATAACCATTTGAAAAGTCTAATTTTATGTATTTGCATATTAATATTAAAAGCATTTTATAATAATGAAAGTATTGTGAAATGCTACGTATCAGGGAATTTCCAGAGACGTAGTTGTTCTATAAATACTTTTCTTCTTGGATCAAATAGAGCAAAGTCATGTTGCAACTTCCCACTTGTCATTACCTACTTTATTTCAAGCAAATAGTGTACGTTCATTTATGAATTTATAACAAAACAAAAGTATTTACCAGCTTCTCTTTGTTAATAATATTAGAAACGACTTATAAAATATTTATCTTTCACATTCTGAAGTTTATTTAAGTAAATGTAGTGGGAAAATAAATTTAATATTTATGATTATTCAGAAATCGTGAGATGCGGTCTGGTGTGATGTAGGTTTCAGAAAAACATTTTCTTATCGTGCTAACGTTTCGGTCTTTATTGAGATCACCTTCAGGGCTCAAAGTCTTTGTTTTCTGCGTAATTGTGCCATTCTTGCTTGTCGTGTTGTGAGGGCGCACACGCCCATGCAAGAATCGCACAATTACACAGAAAACAAAGACTTTGAGCCCTGAAGATGATAATACTTCTTAAGACAGGGATTGAGTTAATTGAACTGAACTAAGTAACTAGAAAAAGTACAATAAGCTGGAGTGCTTGGGGAATACAAAAACCTCGCTTCCTACTATTCCATTAACATCATCATCTCCTTTCCTAACAACTACATCTTCCGCTACTTGAAACTTTACATTTACAAACAACTAACTTAGACCTCATATTTGACTCAAAAGAAAAGTACTGAAGAAAAGGTGTCAACTACTCAAAGACTTCTTGACAACAGATACCTTGACAATAAACTCTAATTGCAAAATAAACACATCATTCCTGCAACCAATCTGTACGTAAGGAATCGAGTCCAACCAGTGTTCCAACCTTTAAAAAATCCATTATCTCCATTCCAAAATCTTTAACCTTTGCCCATGATCTCTGCTTCATATCTAACCTAACAATTGACACAGACCTTCTGATCCCATTTGTCCCCAAAACTCCAAGCAGTTGATACAATCACCTTTATAAAAGCATCCCCCTTTATCCTAACCCTGTTTCATCCTGAACCTCTCCCAACAATAATTAAGACACCTAAAGCATCAATAGATTTGAGTTCACACAATGACAATTCAAATATAGCTTTAATGGTTTTAATAATAAACTGACTCAAATGTCAACATTGTCTTCTGGATCTCTGTTTATACACTCAGCAATTGAAAATCATGATTATTTCAAATAAGGTTAAATATCAACTTTCAATATTAACATTTTAATATTAAAAATCAAGGATATGACCAATGAAAAGGTAGCACTCACTCGTTAAGCTTTAGAGGAATGTAACCCCTTCATGAGGACTTTGAAACAATTATTAACTATTTACAAGGTTAGGTGATTTTGTTCACTGTAAATTTAAGTGTTAAATTTCATTATCATTACAATAGGTTTCAAGATGTAAATAGGTATACCCCTTATGATTATTTTCCCTATGAAACTAAACATGTTCCTGTTACTGTAGAAAAGTAGACTCAGAATCAATTAAAGAAATTACAAAGATTGGCATGTGCTTAACATTAAGGGTAGTGCACTTTTTGAGGTTTCAAAATAAAGAAGGGTCAATTTCACAACAAATCTTTTAGGTTGCAGTGGAAGGAAAGATGACCCCCAAAGAAGAAAAAACACTTTCTTCAGTGCCTCTTTGCACATTTCTCTTTGTGTGAAAATTACCTTAGTAAAGTGGCCACCAACATGGACAGTCATAAAAGTGTCTCTCCTTTCACTTGACAGAGTTGGTATCTTTCTTTGCCAATCTCTTTAAGTAGTAGTTAAGAGGGCAGTGACTGGGTCTATTATAATTGCCCTCAAATCCAGCCTACTGAGAGAGATTCCTTCGCCTTACTTTTTGAGAAATTTACGGATGCCTGGTGGTTTTGTTCAGTTTGTGAATTTTTCTTTCTCAAGCCATTTTATAGCTCCAACTTTAGCGCAATGACTAGTGTGCCTTGGTGTGGTTCCAGCCCCATGGGTAAGAGGGCTGCTTTTTTATTCTAGTTGGTCAGCTTGTTCATTTCCTTCTATACCTTCATTTCTTGAAATCCATGTCAAGTTAAAGTTAAGAGTAGGTATTGATCTATAGTGAAATTTCCATTACTGTTTATTGCTTTTCATTAAGCTTATGACTGTTTATCAGGTCACACAGCTTCATCAGATGCTCCCATGTGTATCCTTGGTGTTTCCTCTCCCATGAGTAAGTGAGCATAGTTCTTCGCACCAACGGAATACATGTTATGTTGTTTCCTTTGGTTTCTTCATTTCCTTCTATACCTACATGTGCTGGAACCCAACTCAAGGTTGTTGTATTCTCCTAAGGACAATTTAGGCAGGTTCAGGCTAAAAGCATATGCATTTTATAACTGCCTAATTGTCTGAAATTATATACGTGGATTTGTACTCCTTTTATTTTCTTGTTTATCAACTCCTGCATTCATTACTAAGAATATAGTTGGAACCAGTTCAAGAGGTGCTAGGCTGTAATCAGCCTCTTTACCCATACACTTATCCCCTTTGATCAATCAGTTTGAGTAAACCAGAAAGGAGTGTCACTTCAGGACATGACTTGGCTATCCAAAGAAATCGGCTATCCATGACTACTTGGTCTATCTGTATCTGTCAAAGTTATAGATTACTTTCCAGAATTTTGTGTTTTATTTCTTTGGATCTCAGGAGTCTTTTTGCACTCTCAAAAGTCACCTTTTACACATGGATGTGTAAAGGTGAGAGGTCGAGCGTAGTTTCCGTCATATAATTGTAAATTAGTACTTATGGTTTTAAAGTCATAAAGAACGGGTTGTATTGCTCAACAGCTTAGCAACTTAAACTGAGTGTTTTCTTTTCACTTGACCTTTCAAGATAAAATTAGAAAACATGATGCATATTTTTATTTTAATCAGTAATTTAAAGTGTTGTTTTTCAAGTACAGTTTGACGTCTGTACTTAGTTACCTAATGAAAGTTGCCTTTTAATACCAGGTAGCCAATTATCTGGATTGTCAAGCAATGGTTCGGGTTTATCCGAACTACATTCTACTCCCTCTCCTCCGAGCAATGAATCGGTGACTTGGGTTACAGAACCATTACCAAAGACTCAGCCAGGTAGTTCGTCAATTTTTTTTTTAAATTAATTAATTTCTTTGTTTAAATTTTGTACATGTAAAGAATATTCACTGTTGCAACTGTATTTATTTGATAAAGTTTTTCCATTGCAGATATTAGTCCTGTGAAGATGAGTAACCCTGGTGCTGTCGGAGATGCTCCAGCTTCAGACATAACAGATGCGATTGGCCAACACAGTTCATTATTTGACGTTGATGAATTAGAATCCTCGTCGGAAAATTCTATGTTCGCTCAGCCTAGTACAACATTTTCATTTAGCGATCATTCAAGTACAGAGGAAATTATCGAAACCACTAACGTCCTAAGGAAAGAATCGAGTGGCAAGTTAACTGAGGCAACTGAGACACTGAGCCCAAGTGAAGAACTTGATACTGAAAACTCGGAAGAAAGCTTCACTCCAACTGAGCCGTTTGTTTCTGAAATTAAAGAGCAGCAGGAGCCAGAAGGTATTTACTGCATGTTCCCTCCACCGCCGCCTTCCATCAACTTCATCACCGAATCACCTCTTAAAATGTTCAAGCAATTCACATCAACAGAAAATTCAGACGAATTGAAACCAATCCTTTCCGAGCCATCATACACTTTGATTGTTTGTCCAAAATTACCTGTTGACAACTCGAGTGACAAAAGCTTGGCTCAGACAGTTTCAACACAAACAATCAAATTCAATGGGCCTGATAATTCTGAAAGTGAATATATCAACTCGGATTGTAGCAATCAGTCGACGACTGCTAGTTCTCTTATATCAGAAAAGGTATCATCAAATTGTGCGACAACAAAGCAATCATCTTGCTTTGAAACGAAACCATCCACTCCGTCAGTGAACACAAAGTCATCGAAGACTTTTGAATTTGAACAAGGATTAACAAGTTCTGAGAATAGTGAGAATGAAGCTATTCTTGAAGGTTTAACAAATCAAAATAAAACAAAAGAACAGCCCCAATCAACTTGTCTTCCTGAGAATACTAATGACAACAACACATATGAAAAAGCCATTCATAATTCTTTGAATGAGGTTTGTACAAATCGCTTATCTAACAAATTGAACTAATTATATAAGCTAATTTACACCCCGCGTATCAATATATGTTAATTTACAGGCATTGAACACCGTTTTTAGTGATGGAGCGATAAAAGTTGGCAACCTGGCTAACCGAATCATTGAAAATCTGAAAGAGGCCTCTGGGAGCAAAGACCAACTTGCTGAGATGCTGCAGAAGAACGAGGAATTGAAAGTGTTTGTTGGAAAATTAATTCAGCTTCTTGAAGAGAAGACCAATCTTTGCTCCAATCTCGAAAAACAAAATCTTGCTTTAAGTCATCAGGTAAGTTTACAAAAATTAAAATAAAATAATACTAATTACAAAATAAAACAGTGGGCAATGTTTGCACCTCCTCCCACCAGGCTATATGTGTGAGAAGAGTGTGATCTATCCTCAACCATGTCAATATTATGTTTCCCTAAGTTATCCACTTCACATAGTACTCAGTACTCTCAGAGTATGTTGCATTCTTCTAATAACTGTCTCACAAGTTATGCAAATAGTGGGCATGCTTGCACCTTCTCCGACTAGGAGATATGCATGAGATGGCTGTGACCTAGCCATAACCTTTTCAATATTTTTTTATACCACTTCCCAAATTCCCCACTGCATATCGTTCTCGGAATCTCTCTGAGTAAGTTGCACTTCTCTAATAGGTTTCTCACCATCACAAGAGATCCACATAGTGGGCAACTTTGCACCTTACCTCCACAACGAGATGCCATGAGTGAGATGAGTGCAACCTATCCTTAACCTTGTCAATATTATTTTATACGAGTACCCCCAGTTTTCCATTTCACATCATTTTCAGTGCTTTCTGAGTATGTCACATTCCTCTAATAGAAATAAATAAGAAAATTCCTCTAATAAAGAATAAGAAAATCATTATTTTGTATTTTTTCCATAACAGGCTTCTTCTCTGAAGGATGTAATCAATATTACAAAGGATCTTCTGAGCATAAGAAATATGGAGGTTGAACACCTTCACACTGATCTCAACTCAATGGAGATGATGATCAAAGACGAGCGTACCAGGCATAATCTTTCTGTGCAGCGTCTACAAGAAGCTATGAAGTAATGTTTTAACGCTTTCAATTTTTTCAACATACTGTTTACAGGTGTCCTTTCAGGTTAAATGAACAGCTCAAAAAGGAGTACTTGCTTCAAATGGACCTATTCACAAAGCTGAAAGGGAAGTACACAGAGAAAATACTCGATCTCTCTGACAACAATCGCCAGTTCAATGATTTCATCAAAAGCCAGAATTTACAATTCGTTCCGAAAGAACGAACAAAAATGGTCGAAGCGATTGTGAACGAGTCTGATAAAAAATAAACACTGATGTATGATGTACAATATTGTTTTTTGCTTTTTTAATTTGTGTATATGTAATCAGTTTTTTAAATACACAATTTTTACATGTCAGATTCTGAATCTGTACCAGTTTTGGTGTCCACGTCTGTCTAATCTAGCCAAAAAAAATTCTTTCGGACAATAAACAGTTTTGCAAAAATAAAGGTCCACTCACCTGACTTTACATATTTCACTCTGTCATTTTGACTTGCTCTTTTATGCATATCTGTACTTCTTATATCTTTTTGGGATACATCTTTAACTGGAGGGCTCAGGTTAGCTCATGAAAAAAAGAACCAGGTTATCTCCTTTTATCATATCACAGAGATTATACCTTTAGTTCTTCCTGCCTGAATTTTAACCTGTACAATGATAGAACTTTATGATAAGACAAAAATGTATTCTGAATCATCTGGAGCTTCTTGAAGTGTTCCAGACTGAGAACAAATTAATCAGGCATATGCTAGAGCATCAGCAGTTTTGTCTGATGCTGACTTGCACTTTTCCTGTAATTGTCTTTGATGTTGATTTGTCGATGTCGTCTTGAAAAATTTCTTTTTAAAAGACCCCAGCCAGCTAAACGTACTAAAAGAGAACTACCAGGAAGTACCATTGCCCCCAGCCAATAATTACGATTGGGTTCACGGCTGCAAGCAGCTCACTGTCAATCTACAGAATTTGAGAAAACTATTGGTGTTCGGGCGAGTCTCCGTCACCGAAGCGCCCGATCTGCGACGTTCACTGTACCCCTCTATCTACAACCCACATCTTCTGGAAGTCAACCAATCATAACACACTTTCCTTCTTTTTCCTCAAAAACCCATCCCTTCCAGCATTTTTGTGCTCTCTAGTCTCTTCTACGCCAGCTCTCGGAGCGAGCACACCTTTATCGCCCTATCTCCCCAAAGTGTTGCGCCATAGTAATTCACCTCCGTGTAAGATCGCCGTCTTTTAAAGTTTCCTCGCCACGCGAATCCCCACGGATTCCCCTTCAAATCGCCATACGATCTTCACCTCCCGACCGCACGATCCCCAAACCTATCATTGCCATTTTCCCTTAATATCTCACCTCCCTTATCATCTATCATCATTATAATCCCACGAACGAATCATCCATCATTATCTCCCGAAGACTCCCATCATCTCTCTGGCTACTACCTGGATTGCATCGTTTTATTCTCATCACCACTGGATTTCATCATCAACGACGCTGCAGGTCGGTGCACTGCCTAATCAACGCTGAACAACGCACGATCTCACTGGCTACTACCTGGATTGCATCGTCTCATTCTCATCACCACTGGATTTCATCATCCATCATCATCATCAACGACGCTGCAGGCCGGTGCACTGCCTAATCAACGCTGAACAACGCACGATATCGCATTCAGGAGACATTCACCGCTTCCGGTCTTCGTCGCCTTCAGAGGGATTCTCCTTTAGACCGTCATTGCCTTCAGATCTCCAATACGCTCATCGGCCATCTTTAAGCCATAGAACTTTCATTAAACAGTGAGTCTTCAAGTACTCCTTTCTTTCATTATTCATTTAATTCATCCTAGACTAACATCTCCTATTCAATCGGTAATCTTCCATTCCCGTTGGTGCCGAAACAATCTTCTTATTAACATTAATTAAGATTTTTAGTTGAGATAAAAAAAGTCAATGTCACGAGTGGGATTCGAACCCACGACTTTCGGCTAGATACGCCGCTGCTCTACCACTTGAGCTATCTTGTAAGCCATCTCCAGCCTCGATCCACTCGGACATCAACTCTCAACCCCACCTTTTGAATTTTCCCTCCTTTTTGCCATTTTTCAAATGTGAAATCGAATTGGATTCTCGGCGACAAATAAAATGGCCACGGAGAGCTTTAGTGAAGTATACTTCATTTTAATTCACTAATTTCGTGGTCCTCTTTTATTTCAACTAAAAACCTTAATTAATTGTAATATATTAATTGGCCAAGCGGACCACGAAATTAGTGAATTTAACTTCTTATTAACTCCTATCTCCGGCGGTGTTCGCCGTCATCATTTTGCATTTGGCTGCTGGTGAACAATTGGTGTGCTGCAGTTTGAGACTGTTAATTTAATTCACTTCTGATAGGGAAAGGAAATATGTAGTTGAGTCGGGAGATCGTATTACCAAATTTAACAGAATCTCACCACTTTTGTCACACTGGGCCGTTCTAAGCGTAGTTTTTAACATTGAACTGTTAATAAAGTCAGAGCTTTTGAGGTTTTTAAAACCAGATCAATGGTTTTCTCAGGCTTGGAGTATTTTTATTATTTTACTATTTGACAATACGTGCAATACTGACAAGGTTGCATAAACGAAAAGAGAAATTGACGGCAAAAAAGGGAAAAGGCATTTCGAAATAAGGCACCAATCAACTTTTAACATTATATTTATAAATTTTCATCCTTAACTTTAATTACAACTTCTCATTTCAATTCAATGAGCTAATTTTACATAATTACAAGGCCATTACAACTGACCAAATGAATTGTTTTGTACAATTCTCTAACATGCTGTTTGCATTCAGAAGGTACAAATTGAATTGTTCTTTTTTTAAATAAATTATTAATAGGATAAATCAAATTATTAAATACAAGAGATAGTTATATATTTATATTATTGCACAAAGGCTTTGAAGAGAAATTTGTCAATTTGTACCGACTGCATCGTACAACATAACAATATGAGATCCTAATGTGGCAGTTAACAAAATGAACAATCAACAGACCGTTAACAATTACTATACCTTTAATAACTATTTACAACATTGACCTTACAGTTCAATTAGTGCTCTTTTATTTATTTTTTAGTAACAAAACATTTATTATCGCCTGTAACGATATGTTTTCAATACATATTTCCTGTTTTAAAACAACTATTTACAAATTTACATTATTTTCTTTGTATATCTTCTATCGAACAACACTTATAACAATGAGGATTCCTTCAACAAGAAGGAAATGATTATTAACTAAAGAAATATGATTTGCATGCTGTAACTGAATTCTGTAATTATTAAATTTAAAAAAATATTTTTTCAATTTCAAAACAAACAAATGAAGTAAATATGTAAAAAATCAAATGTAGAGTTTTAAAATTGAGTTTATTAACAATAGTAATTAATTGGTCCCTGATAAAAAATTCTGCAAACCGATAATGTTTATGGAATTAATAAAAATAACTCAACACGAGCCATCTTTAAGCCCATATTATATACCCTGAGAGCTTTTCTAACGGAACAACTAAATGACAAAATTGTGTATTGCTTTAAAAAATAAAATAAAATACAATAATATAAAAATAAATAAAAAATCCTTTGCGCAGGATTAAAAATGTTGAGTATACCTTTCCAGTGATCCCAAGTCATGCTGGTCACTTTTTCCAAGTAGAAATTTCTAAATACAGAGATTTTACAGATCTAATGATATTGTTGAAACAAAAATGATCTATCTAAGTACATAATTCATCACCCTTATTTTATATTTAAAGAAAGTCAAGTATGTTTAAAATTATTAACACAACTTCGCTAATATGAAACTACATTGCAATTGACATTATTTTCCATAATTCTCAGGATAAAAAGGGATTTCTTGTTCATATTTTTATTGTCTAATCTGTTGCTAATTTTAACATACAATGAAATATTTTATTTGCCTTGCTTCAATCATTTAATTTTACAGTTTTCCAAAACTTTTACTGAAAATATTACTCTATAGACTTGGTCTCCATTTTGCTAAACCGTCATACAAATTAAACTCCCATTTGCATTATTTACAATTGCATTATTTACCTGTCCATAATGATAAATATACTTTTAATTTTTTTTTTTTTTTGGTTTTGTTTGATTAGAGATAATTCACAGTATATTGGACTGTTTTTCAATTTGTGTCTATGGCCTAGGTTGATTTAAAAGGAAAGATAGCATATAATGCATATCATCTTGTTCAAAAGGAATCTAGGACTCTCCAGCAGAAACGACAGGATGACATCTTGGAAGGAATGCTCTATTTCCACACTGAAATAAAACACACAAATAAATAATGCCTTCAAGGCGATCTTGATTGTCTCCAATCAACTAGAAACATTTTTGAAAGATAAAACCAGCACAAGGATATCCCAACCAGTGTAATTGAAATAATCAAGCTACATATTTTTTAAATGTGTGGTTAATCGATAATTATTCAGAAATCGTGAGATGCGGTCTGGTGTGAAATAGGTATCAGAAAAACATTTTATTTATTGGGCCAACGTTTCGATCTTTATTGAGATCATCTTCAGGGCTCAAAGTGTTTGTCTTCTGTGTAATTGTACCATTCTTGCGTGTCGTGTTGAGAGTGTCCACAGGCACTTTGAGCTCTGAAGATGATCTCAATAAAGATCGAAATGTTGTCACGATAAAGTAAATATTTTTCTAAAACCTACGTCACACCAGATCGCATCTCACGATCTCCGAATAAAGTCTTAAAATAAAGACCTGTAAATTGATGGAAATTTTAAAGTAATGAATTGGTGAAATTTCTGTTTATACATTTACGTTTTAGTCGTCAATCAAGTTGCTTCTTTCAATTAATTATTCTTTCTATGTAAGGTCTTGGTGGAGATAAATAAGTTAGGTTCACGAGCGGGATTTGAACCCACGACCTTCGGCTAAATACGCCGCTTCTCTACCACTTGAGCTATCGTAACTTCGATCCAGGCGGACACCAACTCACAATTACACAGAAGACAAACATTTTGTGCACTGAAGATGATCTCAATAAAGATCGAAACGTTGGCACGATAAAGAATACCTACATCACACCAAACCGCATCTCACGATTTCTGAATAATTATATTTTTAAAATTTTTGCTGTCTATTGTAACCACGGTTCGGAAGTTCATGTTTCTACATTTTTTTCAATTTCAAAACAGTTTTTAGATGTCAAGATATTTTTAAATAATTTGAAACTATATTCATTTCATATATTTTAGGGCAAATGCATATTCACTCACTGCCACATAGTTAGTGACGTTGGGTTCAAATCCTGGTCTAGTCCATTTAATTTTAATAGAGATTGATTTGAAAAAATACTATAAATTGACCCCTTGACAAACATTGACCATTGATTTATCTGTAAAAATAATATAATATGTTATACAGGTGCACGAAAATGTTAATGAATCAATAATGAAAATATTGTTGTACGAGAATTTTAGTTTTTGTACTTACCTAAAATTAATTTATTACAAGACTTTTATTTGTTTTTATATATTTGTGAAATTTCAACTACTATTACTACTATTTTCCTTTTTATTTAACCTAAACTTCCATTCTTTAATAAAAACATAAATATTTTAAAAAGTTTAAAGTAGATAAAAAAGCTAACCTGAAGTAAGGCCACATCATATCACATTTTGCCCAGGAATGGGTGTTTGCCTGTGATCATAAAAGAATTTCCATTTTACCAGTTTTTCTAACTATTCTGATCTGCCCCGGCTGCACTTCAGGTAGGCCGGTACACTTGAATGTGACCGTGACGGTCTGTTGGCCGAAATTTGCTTCAAACCTACAAAAAGGTCCAGTGTAATGAGTCCAGTCCAACACAAAAATTGATTTCATCCATGATAGGCATACTCTGTGCTAATGTTGACTTGTGGCGGTTTGCCAACAGCGTTTTGTATCACGAGGAACAATTTTGTTACTATTTCAATCACGTGTCCTGTTTGGAAGACGAAATCACCTTTTTTGATCCCCAGCTCGCTCTGGAACAGACAGCCAGGGGCCATCCCACTTTCACTACTGGAGTCACAGCTTGGGCTACCCTACAAAAACCAACTGATCTACCACTATCTACAAAGGGTTTAAGACAAGTAGTTACAGGAATTAAAATAATACTTGTACTTTTATGTACAGTTAAGAAACTAAGGAAGTGCACTTTTTATTTTGTTGCTAAAAGATAACTTTTAAATTACATATACATTTACAAAAATGTTACTTTACACATAACTTACTGCTCTGACATGAAAAACTGCAACATCATCCAAATAAGGAGATAAAGAGAGCCTGTAGATTTCTGTAGCAGGCACCCTGTATTTAATTTGCAGTGTTCTTTGATCAAGGATCAACATGGCACTAGTAGACAAGACAAAAAGAATAGGAGCAAACTGAAATTAAACAATATTAATTTTTTTCTTAAAGTTAAGTAAGAACAGTTTCCTTGCCTTGCCACTCGATCTAGTAATCTTGTTGATTATATCGGCAAAAACAACATACTGGTCATTTGTTTCTATGCAGATCTTCTTCCACTGGATGTTCTGCCTCAGTCTTACATAATCACCCAAAAAAGGATGTGAAACGCTGAAGAAACAAATTCAAAAATTTTAAGCTTGACAAAATGATTAGAAGAATTGATAAAAAATTACGTCCTACCTCCTTGGATAAGAACTTTTCCGTTCTTTAAATATAAGGCTGGCAGTGACTTTCTCCCTCATTCGATTTCTAGATGTTTGGTCAAATTTTGATCTATATTTGTGACACTAAAAGTAAAAAATATTTTGATTAAAAATGGGAATACATTTTTAAATAATTATTTTTCCCATAAACCCTCATGGCTAAGGCACAAAAGATGCTGAAATGACGATGAACCTATTGATTGGTCGTTTTTGATCATTTTGGTCTAACTCAATGATGATGAACTTCTGTCAGACAAAAATGACTGGAAACAACCAAGTTGCAAGAATCAGTATGCAACCAACAAAGCACCAAGATACCAATTTTTCTATGAATATTTATACTTTTTCATTTTATTGATGGACCCTTTTGTAGTTGTACGAACTGGAGAGTCTCAACATAACAGTTGGTTGATGTCTGGGTCCCAGATGCATAGTTCTGGAGGGTAATGAAAAGGTGCTTAAAGCCTGGACCTCCCAACCTCCAGACCTAACTACCACAATCCTCTGATGTTAAAAATGCTATGAAAACACCATTAGAAGAAAGAAATTGGCAGTGTTGGAGGCCATTACAGCAGAGAAGCTCTTGTGTATCAAGGGCATGGCCAATAGGTGGTTCTTGGAATTTTTTAATGTTTAAGGGTTATATGCTATAGTTTGGTGAGTAAAGGTTGGCTTTTGTCAACATTTATTTTTTCATAACCTTTTCAGCTAATTTTTAGGTTGAGTAAGTATAGGAGTAAGAGAATGAGATCTTTATTGCAAGATAGAAAAGCAGTATCATCAGGCAATTGTATCAGATTAGGTAGGCCAGCCTTATCAGATTAGCAGTCATGGATGTTTCCTGGCTGACCTGAAAGAAGCTGTCCGTCAGAGGATGGGGAAGAAGGTTAATAGAAGGGTGCTTTTGAATCAACTCAGATGCCACACCGTATCAAAGACTTGAGCCACATCAAAGAAAGCTCCTGAGCGGTTTTTACGGAAACCAAACTTGTAGCAGAGTTGAGTTTCAGCTCAAAAAAGGGAGGGTCTACAAGAACTCCAAGTTCTTAATGNTAATAAATTGTTAGTTAAATCATTATATCAACAAATGGCATTCCGGTGTTTTGATCAATTTTCTACCAAACCATTAAAATTAATTTTTTTTAAATCAAAACTAATGAATTTTTGATCTCGTTTAATTTGGTTTATATTAAAGTAAGTATGTTGTAATTAATATAACGGCAATAATACATGTAGTTTGAAAAAAATATGAGTGTCCGGTTCTTTTATCTTCGACTGTACTCGATGCGAGCCGACGAAAATCTGGACAGTGGAGATCGCAGAGCGTCGGGTAGGTTAGCGTGGCATAGCATCGGGTAGATGTGCACGTGGGTAATGCAACCTTATGGAAAATCTGAGTTTGGATTTGCGTCGGGTAGCGTCGCATAGCGTTGCATCTGGTAAGTGTGTTCCCGGCTTAATTCCTGGGTCAGTGGTTAAACCAAAACGACGCAAATACGTTTAGTTTTTGCCGCCATCTTGTAACTGATGGTGATGTCTGCGTTTAAACAGCGGTTAAATGTAAAGAACGCCTTCGGAATGCTCTTTTTTCGGTTTTTCTCATTCTTCTTCCCATCCCTTTAGGACTACGTAAACTACTAGGTCGCGTTAGTCTTGTCATAAGAAAAAGTAGACCCGACGAAAATCTGGACAGTTGGGATCGCAGAGCGTCGGGTAGATGTGCACGTGGGTAATGCAACCTTATGGAAAATCTGAGTTTGGATTTGCGTCGGGTAGTATCGGGTAGCGTCGCATGGCGTGGCATCGGGTAAGTGTGTTTCTGGCTTTAAGGTCGTCTTTATGAAGGAAAACTTTCATTGTAAGGAAAAGTTACTTAGACAACACTATAACGTTATGCCTTGTCTTCATATAGAGAATGAGTAGTAATGCCACCCGATATGAGAATTGTGCTTGAACTGGTAGCGAATCTTTGGTCATCCCTGTTTCAATTTTTTGAAGGAAACAGGGTTTTTTAAATATAGTATGTACTAGTGGTATATATCTTGTTTTGTGTTTCCTTTCGTGTATATTGACAGTGAAAGTACTTATAAGAGTGAATGTAGGGCCGGTAGAATATTGATACCACCATTGACCCTCAATTAGGTTAGTTATGTTGCGTTAAGAGTAATGGAGGAATAATGAGTACTTGAGTGAATGGTATGTAAATAGGAAAGAATCTATTTAAGAGTGTGAGTAGGCTCTAGGCTAAAAAACCTCATGCTGTAAAATGACCTTGCTGTTGACAACCCTTGGAAGCTAACTTTGGCGGTGGGACAGAAGACCCAGGTTTGAACCTGGACTGTTGAAACACCAGCCCAGTTCTGTATACATGTACAGAGTTGAGCTCATATCAAACAATCAATCAAATAAATAATTGTTTGGTACAATACATGCTAATAATAATATACCCTCCATCTATGGTGCAATCTCCTCAGCAGTAAGCTCGTTTCTGCTAGGCGGCTCTGACATGGAGGCCAGTCTCTGTTAATTGGTGATTCATTAATACTATTCAATTCCTGGGCTAAATAAAGAAGAAAATGTTTCCTCTGTGGACAAAAAGAGTGTATAAATATATCGACAAGGGTCGACAAATTCAGTAGCATACCTTCCATTTAATAAACTGTCTTTGAATTACACGGACTGCCCAGTCCACTAATTTCCTCCTTTTGAGTATTCTATATTCCTCCCTGGCCTGGAAAACAAAAAGTTGTTAAAACTTTATAAAGTACAAGAGCTCGTAAGCAGCTGTTTTAAATTTCTAAATATTACTTACAACTTTATATAGACACCATAAATGCCTTCGTCCATCGTAAGGAATTCCGAATCTGCATTCCTTTCATGCAACATGCATATTTATTTTCATAACAATAGTTCTAACATGCTTTTTTTAACAATAAAAAATTCTATAGTAGTTATCAAAATATTGAAATAGTTTACCCTCCAACTCCTCCAGGCGGATGCTATGATTATTTGACTGTGTTTTTTCTTCAAGAATATCCTCCTCTCTCTATAGCCTCTCCAAGTCTTCTGCATCAAGACGGCTAAATCTTCTAAACGTTCTCTTCTAAATTCTTCAAGTTCGAATACCTAAACATACAAATTGTATCAAAGGAAATAAGTAAATGCACAATTGAAACCTACGGATCTTGGACTTCTAATGAATATTTTCGTTCTCCCAAATGAAAATTCACCGCTTGGGATTGGGAGGTCTCTTAGAAGGTAAGAGACTCCCTCGACTGGCACTCCTTGCCAATTGGGCCATGTGTGTAGCGACAGCATTTTGTACCTTGCAAGAAACCCTGTGTAGGTCTGCCTGTGGCAAAATCCACATCTTCTGACTCGAACCGTTTCAATAAGCCTATAACATTTGTAATGCTATTGTTGAAAATTCAAAATTAAATATCAAACAAAAATACTTACCCTAGATATCTAACTTGATGTTGTACTAGACCCATTTCAAATATTCGTGGCTGTTTGAGCTCATTAGGCTTGATACAGCGAATGTAATGTGGGTTTTTTGCTACTAAATTTCTCACCAGACCTCCCAGGGAAACCTTAAACTGGGAGCCAACTGTGGGCGGACGTTTTGAAGGAGCTCGTTTTGGATTTCCTGAAAAATACTTTCTTTTCTTGCCCGTCTGTAAATTATATTAACGCAATTGTGACAAACCTTCAGGAAATAAAGATTTGAGCATGGGATGCTCACTTCGGTGCATTGTTTGAGAAAGTTCTCTTGAAACGTGATCGGTATTTTTTTCAATAAACCCTTTCACATTGTATGTAACAGTTCCTGCAAAATGTTTTAACCTAAAAAAAATGCCAATACATTTTTGTATTAAAATAATTTCACAAATAGGAATTTTATAAATAATAATATAATTTTATTTATTTGTTTTGAATGGTATGGTGTTCTCAAGAGCAGCAAAGTACTGGTGTTAGTTAATAAATTGAGAATTGAAAAATGAAAGCTTAATCAAGTCTGTAAAGTTGTGAGTAACAAGGGCAAAGTTGGGTTTTGGGCCTAGGACCAGCTATAAGATCCAGAATGTATTTATTGGGTTCATTATCCATTTATATACCAATTTCTTTTGGACCATTAGACTCCTATCTAGCGATCAATTTTGCCGAGTCCATCAGGAACTGATTTCTCACGTTATGTATACAATATGGCAGGGGTTCCTCAGGGAAACATACTTGGCCCATTTTTATTTTCAATATACACTGCAGATATTCCTAAACAAGTTAACATTTCAACACATAAATTCGCTGATGAGTGATTCTGACATGTAATTCGCACCCCTTCATAAACACTCAACAATTACAACACTGAATGAATTAACAGTATGTTTCACAAAGTGGAGAATGAAAATAAACCTCATGATAGGGTACAGATAAATTTTACTCTATGTAAAAATATCTGTCCTCCACTAAGTAAGGAACCCCATATATAAAATTTCATTAAGTAAGACAGTAACTTTCAACCTTAACAGAAAATCCTCCAAGACAATTGAAGTAAAAGTTGTCCTGAGACTTTCACAGTACGAATGAGTGCTGTCACTGGGCAACTTCTCTTACAAGAGACTCAAATGACAAATTCAATATGGATATGAAAATATTTATATTAATAAGCAATTCTATATTTTCCTCAGTGAAGATGGCGCAATGCTGAAATGTGTTTGAATAACAAAATATATATATATATATATATATATATATATATATATATAAAATACGAGAGTAAATGACCCTGTGCCAGTTCTACAAAAGTTCTATATTTTTCTACAAAAGGATTAGACTCACCTAAAGCAGTTTGGTGGTAGGCTGTTATCAGAATGGTGCCTTCTAGGTGTAGAATGTCCGCAAAGATTAAGCACTCTGTTCAGCAGTACTTCCTCACACCCTTCAGCCCCGTTACAACCTTCTTCAATAATTTTTGCACTGATCTCATCCAATAGGCACAAAATACCATGATTGTTCTAGAAAATAATGGGCTTTAAATTAATCCACGTTTAAATTAAAAACTTAAAAGTTTAATAGTAATTTTAGCACCTTTTCTATAATATCACAGACAGCAGTATTACAAACGAAATCGACAGGACACCAGTCTATCCCTTCTCGAAGATATTCTTCTTGTTCCTGTTTCAGAGTACTTTCAGTTATGACAGCGTGGAGCTTTTCATTGCAAAAATTGATAATAAACTGTTCGAAACCGTTATATTCAAGTATTTCAAATCCATATACGTCCAGGATTCCTAACACTTTTCTTTTTCCGCATTTTTTAACCTGAAATTTTTTAAAATATTTATATAAAATATTGCACAGTGTATTTTGTTTTATATTATTCTTTATTTTATATTATTATATTTTACCTTTGTCGCTTGATTTAAACGGTTGACAAGCCATGTGAAAGTCCTTGAATAGAGGGCTTTACACAGAGAATCTCTATTTTGTGTAGCCTGTTTGGCCGATAGCTCTGTTATAAGCATTTCCTGGTTGGAAGAGAAGAAGGCAGACCTTGTGGTCAAAGAGGTCTGCAGGTCGCTTACGTCCGTACCGAGAAGTTCACAAACTTCGAACACTTCTGCAAGGCGAATATGTAAAAATTAGGGCTAAAACTTCATCGATATATCCAACCTACCATATTCATTATTTATTGTGCATCCTTCAGTCCCATCGATATTGTTTGTTGGAATAAAAATAACATTTCCTAACTTTAAGACACTTGCGATGATTTTTAAAACATTTAACACCTCTTCTTGAGTTAGGCCACAGGTCTCCAAAGACCTCTAAAAATCAAAAATATCGTTTTTTTTACTTTATTCTATTTTTATTCATACTTGTATCTATAATTAGCATATGAAAACAATACCTTTGTCACTGAAAAATCTTTTTTGTCATCTAGCGTTTCCATATGCAGTGTTCGACTGCTTTTGAGGAAAGAATAATTATCGACATTCCTTTGAAGTTTAAGACACTCTAAAAATGAAATTTTACTACTTGAGAAAAAATATCAGTGATTTTACCAGAAGAAGAATACGAAAGAGCGCTTACTGAGCAAATGAATATCAGCACCTGTTATAAGTTGATAAAAAATATGAAAATTTCTATCGCCTGATAGTTGGGTGGTTATTCTAGACTGAAAAATAGACAAGGTTGGTTTTTGATATTTCTGGAAAAAGGAAATAGCCTTTTTTTACTGAAATTTTACCTTTTCTAAAAGGTCTGATGCGTTAAATAAAATATAAACATTTATTAGAACAATTTAAACGTTAATAAAATTTATTTTAATTACGGATATTTACAATTAGTTATTGTAGCTCCTAATGGATCCCCTTTATAATCGAACTCAAGCTCAAGGTACAACCCCTGCAAAAATAAGACGTTAAACGACCACTTAAAATATATTTTAAAAAACTTACAAATCTGGACGAATTGTCATTCCGTGCAGTCTTTGCGTTTCCAAAGGCTGTATAAAAAATAAATAAACGATTAAATAAATTTCTAATCAATTTTACAGAAGATTAACTTCTGAAAATCAGTTCAACATGATACATTTTTTCTCAGAGAAACAAAATGTAATATTTTTCCAACAACGTTATGTATTACAAACTTTCGTCGAGATTTTGGCGTTGGAACTTTCAAACCGTTTGAAATTTGCTGAACACCGTTTCTGGTAGTGAACTTTGCATATTTAATAAACTGTACCGCTTTAGAGGCGCAACGTTTCCTTTCTGCAGTGTGAATTGTTAAATTATCGCCTTGTCGAAATGTCTGGCACAGGGCCGTAATTGGTCTCGGGGAGCGACTTGTGCTTAAAAAGTTTCCAGGTTGTGCGTAACTTGAAAGTGTATTTTTAAATTTAAAAGCCCGGCCTTTATTGATCGGAATCTTTTAGGATTTTTAAAAAAAAATTAACTTGCTTAACTTAAATGCTGAACATGACACAGATGGCATGAGGTAACAGACTGAAAGAAAGTTTTAAGAAAGGTTTTTAGATTTACCTTCAAGTATGGGCGAGATGTGAGCGATCCGCTCGCGTATAGGGTCGCGAACCATAGTGCAGCGCTGTGCTGACAGAAACTGCAGAACCAGCTTTGTCGATTCAGTTTTTCCGGAACCGCTTTCACCGGAAACGACGACGCACTGGTCCTCGTTCCTATCCCGGAGCCAGCGGAACGCGGATCCGGCGACCGCGAAACTGAAAAAAAAGAAAAATTGACAAAAAGCATAACCACAGGTTAAACAGACTAAAATGATCGTAAACGTCCACGAATTGCAAGTCCGTCGCCCTGCAAATCTCTTGTGGAATAGCAGCAATTAAAAAATTGCAATGCTGGGGAAAGTAATTTTGAAATTTTAACTTGCTTAACTTAAATGCTGAACAAGACGATGGCATGGTATAACAGTCGGACGAAATTTACTTCTCTCCCCTACATTGTCATTTTTTAAGTCTGTCTTTTTCTTTTCTCTTCCTCGCTCTCTCAGTCGCTTTTTCTGTCTGCATGTCTCAAAAGAGAGAGAGAGAGAGAGAGAGAGAGAGAGAGAGAGAGAGAGAGAGAGAGAGAGAGAGAGAAGAAAGGCAGTCAAAAAGCTAAAGAGAGCGAGGGAAAAAAGAATGAGGAAAAGGAAGGACAAAGAGAAAGGCAGAGGGGAGAAGCAGAAATAGAGAGAGAGCGAGAGAAAGAGGAAAAAATAGGGATAGAGAAACAGAAATAGAAAGAGAAATGTCGCTATACAGACAGAGAATCACAACAATTTAGAAAAATAAACTAGCTGATTAAACATTAGAAAGTTAGAAGAGGGAAATACTCGGAATTACGATAGATATACTAAATAAATAATATTAAATATATAATTATTTAGAGATCGTAATATGCGGTCTTGTTTGATGTAGGTTTAGAAAAAAAATTTCTTTACTGAGCCAACGTTTCAATCTTTATTGAGATCATTTTCAGGGCCTGGGATTTACAAATATTGTTTACATTAATCCATTTATGTTTCAGTGGTCAATTGACCATGTTACTTATTCAATTAATTATTCTTTCTATGTAAGATCTAGGGTGAGATAAATGGTAATAATAAATAAAATAAATGGCGATGGTAAATACGTCGCTGCACTACAACTTAAACTATCGTGACTTCGATCCTCTCTTTATTTCAACCAAGACCTTACATAACATCAATGGATTAATATTTAATAAGAAAAAAAAAGATAAGAAGTATCACTTCACTAACAGCTCCCCGTGGCCACTTCATAAGTCGCCGAGAATCGAATCGTGATTACACGACATTTGAAAATGGCAAAAAGAGGTAAAATTCGAACGGTTGTAGGTTGAGATGGAGAGTTGGTGTCCGAGAGGATCGAAGTCATGAAAGTTCAAGTGGCAGCGTATTTAGCCGAAGGTCGTGGGTTCGAATCCCGCTTAGACCTTACATAAAAAGAATAATGAACTGGAAGAATTATTTACATTATACAACTATATGTAACATGTGAATATGAATTTGTACAATGATATTCACAAAGTAGAAATTTTGAGTTTAAACATGATTCTACACAGAAAATGTTTAATTAAAGTATTTGTACTCACTCAAAGTGTGTGTTTTCTGTGTAGAACCTTGGTAAAACCTAAAATTTCTAGGTGGTGTACATCATTGTATAAATTCATTTTCACATGTTACATGTATTTGAATAATGTAAACAATATTTGTAAATCCCAGGCCCTGAAGATGATCTAAATAAAGATCGAAACGTTGGCACAATATAGAAAATGTTTTTCTGAAGCTACACCACACAAGACAGCATCTCACGATCTCCAAATAATCATTAATTAACGGTCACTAAATACTACACATTAAGTACATATTTTACTAAAAAAACCACACACACATCGTGAGGCGAACTTTCCACATTATTTATATAATATCCAGTATCTTTAAATACTCACATGTGCGGAGGTAATTGGAACGGTCCTCTTGTCCTGTACTCGTGAACCAGTTCTGGAGTGTAAATGGCGAGCTTTTTATACGGGTTGACAGAAACGAGAACGTTACCGATGTAAGTCTGAAATCAAAAGAAATTGTTTTATTTATTCAGGATGATGATGGATCATAACCGATCAACAGACTCTACAAGTTAGAGTTGTCGTCAGAAACACATAGGTCATCCTCAGGGTTCTTTATTTATAAAATGTACTGTAAATATTTTCTTTTTTTTCAATGATATTACGTGGAAGTTTTTAATGATGTATTAGGACAGAAAAGGTATAAACAGAGGATAAACGAAACAGAAAGAAATCAGAGGAAAGAGAAAACTGAGAAGAATAAAGAGGGAAAGGTACAGAAAGATATAATGAGAGAGAGAAAGACAGAATGGAAAAGAAAGACCGAAGGGAGAAGGTAGCTAGATAGACAGATACATAGATAGATAGATAAATAGGTAGGTAGATAGAGAGAGAGTGAGTGAGAGTGAGTGAGAGAGAGAGAGAGAGAGAGAGAGAGAGAGAGAGAGAGAGAGAGAGTCATAAAATACATAATACATTCACATAGCAGTAATGCAATATCACTCGTCATATAAATCATAACCTCTGTGTTAGCTAGGCTAAACCAGCAACACACCCCGGTCTTGCAAAAGTGTAGGTACTATACAACTTATATAACTTATATATATATATATATATATATATATA